GATATGTTTGGATCCAACTAGATATAACTATTAGCTATAAATTTGAAATTATTTCAATATTAATATGTAATGTTATGAATATTAATTTTTATTGAACGGATTACAATATTGAGGAGGGGGTTTTGAACCTAACCTTAAGATTATAGTGTACTTTATGAAGAGGCATATAACCATTGTGTCACAAAATCTAAGTGTATGAATATTAATTAATTACGAAAACACTTTTCCATCTATTAAATACAATTATGGTATTTGATAGTACAAATGAAAAGGAAAATAAATAAGCTCCTTAGAGTTTGTTTTAATTGTTAAAAAAATTAAAATTTATGTTTAAAATCTCAAATGTACATGATTTAAATGGGGATGATATCACTTGTTGAATATAAAAAAAATTAAAAAAGAAAATTACAGGCAGCAACAAAGACGCTGATGGAGAGGAAATTGGAGGAAATTAAAGCGATTTTGACGGCTATTCAGAGGACAACCAGCGGTGAGCAGGAGAGGTTGGGACATCTTTTCTCTAAGATGCTTAGATGTCATAATCTTATTAGCTTCTTTAGCCTAGGGACTAGCAGTGTAGTCTTCTTACATAAGTCTTTCTTTATGCTATATATAAAGAATAAAGGGTGACGGTTGAATTTTTAAAGAGTTTTTTCTTTATGTTAGCAGTGGTTGATTTGTCATATAAAAAAATAGTGAAGAACCGTTCACCAAATACCTTTCTTGTTTGACTTTTTGGTTAATTCCTACCCCATAATAGGTAGTTGCTACCCTGCAGCTCTCTTCATTTCTCTCAAATTGCTTTCTGCCTACTAACTCTCTCACTCTGCTTAAGCAAGATGGCTGAAAGTATTCTTGGTCCTGTCATAGAAGAGGCACTTTTCAAGGTGGCATCGTTTACTGCTGGACAGATCCGCCTTGCATGGGGTTTGGAGAAGGAGTTGTCAAAGCTTCGCAGTTCACTCAACCTGATTCAACATGTGCTCCAAGATGCAGAGGAACGACAAAGTGAGGCGGCAATACGGGATTGGCTACAGGAGCTCAAAGACGTTGCTTATGACATGGTGGATGTACTGGATGAGGTTGAATATGAGGTACTCCAACAGAAAGTAGAGACTCAAAGCCAAGTGAAACGGGTGCGCAACTTCTTCTCTCCCTCAAATCCCATTGCATTCCGTTTCAACATCGCTAATAAAATTAAGAAGATTAATGAGTCTCTTGTTAAAGTAAGAGAAGATGCAGTTTTTACTACCCTTCTTGCTAGAAACAAAAGCCCCCGGGTTGGCAAATCCCAGCCTGGCACTCACTCCTTTCTAGATTCAAAATTTGAATCAAGAAGGGATGAGGATGTCACAGAAATTGTTAAGTTGTTGACTGAACAAAGGAGTCATCAGCATCCCATCTCTGTCATTTCTTTGATTGGCATGGCAGGAGTTGGAAAGACAACTTTAGCAAAATTGCTATACAAAGAAATAAAAAACAGAAACCTTTTTGATGAAGTAGCATGGGTGTGTGTGTCTGATGATTTTGATGAACGGGCAATTTTGAAAGGGATGTTGGAATATCATGATCAGAATGCTGGTGGAATAAATAATATTGATGTATTGCTCAAACGACTAGAGGAAAAGTTAGAAAAGAAAACTTTTCTTCTTGTCCTTGATGATGTGTGGGAGGATAATTCCAATACTTGGGCTACTTTCAGTGGTCTTCTGTCAAAATTTGTGAAAACTAGTGGGAACTCCATTGTTGTAACCACTCGTAAAGAAGGGGTGGCATCATCCATAGCCGAGTGTCTTCCTTTGCAAAGGCATCCTTTAAAAAGGCTATCAGATGATGATTCTTGGTTGATAATAAAAGAGAAGGCTTTTGGATCTACAGAGGCATCCATACCTGATCAACAGTTAGAGGATATTGGTAGGGATATTGCAAAACAATGTGGAGGCCTACCATTAATTGCAAATATTTTGGGGGGAACAATGTGTAATGTAAAGGGAGTAGATGGGTGGTTGTCTATAAAAGATAAAATTGTTTGGAATTTAAAAGATAGTGATCAGATAAAATTTGTACTTAAGCTAAGTTTTGATCATTTGCCTTCACATATGAAGAAATGCTTCTCTTTTTGTTCAGTTTTCCCAAAAGATTTTAATTTTGAAAAAGATGATTTAATTCAGCATTGGATGGCTCAAGGATTTCTTTGCTCATCTAGTCAGGAAATGATGGAAGATATTGGGAACAAGTATGTTAGTGATCTAATATCTAACTGCTTGTTCCAAGATGTAAAGAAGAATAAATATGGGATCATATCCTTCAAGATGCACGATGTGGTGCATGATCTTGCCTTGTTAGTTTCAGAAGGTGAAACATTGATTTTGAAGAATGATTCCATCCATGAAAATTCTTGCATTCGACATCTGAAGGTCCCATCTAGTGTAGTAGTGGATCCAACTATTTTGAGAGGTGTAGCTCCAAAGTTGCATTCATTGTTCTCAGAGGTTGATTTCTGTAGCATGTCAAAGATGGATCTTAAAAGCATACGGTCTTTAAGTTTAAAGAAAGCAGACGGTGATAAACTACCAGCTTCTCCAAGCAAATTGAAGCATTTGAGATACCTTGACATCTCAAACACTAAAATCAGGGCATTGCCAAAATCCTTCTCCAAGCTGTATAATTTGCAAACCTTAAAATTGATGTACTGCTCTCGTCTTCAAAAGCTTCCTGATGGAATGGAAAATCTGATCAGTTTAAGGCATTTTTATTTTAGCAATGACAAGCTCATGCCAAGAAATATTGGGCGTTTGACTTCCTTGCAAACCTTATCATTATTTGCTGTGGGCAAAGAAAAGGGATGTCATATTGAAGAACTTGGATGCTTGAGTCAACTTGGAGGAGCATTGAGAATATGCAACCTTGAATTTGTCAAATCTAAATCAGAAGCCAGCAAAGCAAACATGGAGCAGAAGACAAAATTGTATGAGTTGCGATTGCAATGGGGAAGAAACAAAGAAGAGGGCTACAACAGTTATGAGGAGGTTCTAGAAGGCCTTCAGCCTCCCTCAAATTTGAAAAGCTTAAGTATTGGTGGTTATATGGGAGAGAAGTTTCCGTTATGGATGGAGAAGGGAGTCAATTTATCTGGTGATGCATTTTTACTCAATAATCTACTGGAATTGCAATTAAATGGCTGTGGTGAATGTATGGATATTCCTAGCTTGGGATTTTTGCCTAATCTCCAAGTTCTTAATATACGACGTACGGAAAAGGTGAAACGTATGGGCAGCAAGTTTTATCTTAACAGAACCAACATTGCAAGTAGTAGCCATGGTGGAGGCGACAAAATCACACTATTCCCGGCTTTGAAAAATCTCACATTAGATGACATGGGAAGCCTAGAGGAATGGGCAGAAATAGAAGGAGTAATTGTGTTTCCTTGCCTTGAGAAATTGCACATTTCGTGGTGTCCTAAATTGAAGACTTGGTCGATGTCTGGATTTGCATCTCACCACAAGCTCTCTGAGCTTGAGATATCTTCTTGTTTGAGTATTGTGGCTATCCCAATCATAGATGGGCAGCTCTCTCTTAAAACGTTATCAATTCATAATTGTCCAGAACTAGTTTGTCTACCAAATGGGCTAGATACCTGCACTTCTCTCCAGTACTTGAGTATTCGGGGATGCCCTAATCTAATTTCTATTGCACAAGATATGGGAAGATTTCATTTGCTTACTTCTTTGAGCATTCTTCGTTGTGAAAAAGTAAGGAGCATATCAGAAGAGTACCTGAGTGGCCTTAATAGTTTGAAGAATGTAGAGATGGGTCCTTTTTGGTCAGAGCTAGAGGAATTCCCTGGACTTGGACTAACTTCCATCCCTCACCGCAACATCTCTATTGAAACTTTGTTTTTGGACGGATGGGATAAAATAAAGTCTTTGCCACATCAGCTTCAACATTTTACTGCCCTCAGAGAATTACAGATACGCAATTTCAACGGAGTGGAAGCTTTTCCAGAGTGGTTGGGGGACCTCTCTTCTCTTGTTTCTTTATCGATTTGTTCATGTAACAAATTGAATAGAATTCCAGAGGAGTGCCTGGGTAGGCTCACTCGCTTGAAGCAATTAACGATGGGTCCTTTCTACTCAGAGTCGGAGGAATTTCCTGGACTCACTTCAATCCATCACCTCCACGCCTCCCTTGAAAATTTGAAATTGGTTGGATGGGATAAACTGAAATCACTGCCATATCAGCTTCAACATCTCACTGCTCTTAAGGAACTGAGGATATTTTCATTCACCGGAGTGGAAGCTTTACCAGAGTGGTTGGGAAACCTCTCTTCTCTTACTTCTTTAAGCATTTATCGGTGTAACAAATTGAAGAGCATTCCAGAGGAGTGCCTAGGTAGGCTCACGTGCTTGGAGAGCTTATCGATGGGTCCTTTCTGGTCTGAGTTGGAAGAATACCCAGGGCTCTCTTCCATCCATCACCTCCACGCCTCCCTCAAAGATTTGACTTTGGAAGGATGGGATAAACTAAAGTCACTGCCACATCAGCTTCGACATCTCACTGCCCTCC